ACTCTACAGCTAGTGGTGGAAAAAATATTGAATGGAAGTTGAACATTGCTTCGTCCTGTCGGGAATAGGCTGAAGTTGCTTTTGTTTTGCATTTTTTGCATCCCTTGCTTCTTTGAATTCTGTGTCTGTAAATGGATTGAATTTTCGGGTGTACTGTTCAAAGAATTTTTGTTGAAGCAGAATCGCAGTAAGTAACTTTCCACATAGTCTTTATAACGCATTATTTATAATCATTTCTTGATGTGGAAAGCTCAATCTTTCACGAATAATCCAAGCTCTTGATTTGAAGTAGTCTCTTCAATTTATAATGTTCCTATTTTAAAAACATTTCAAAATGCTTTCATATCGACTTCTGGTTATTCACTGTACTTTTCGGAATAACGTTCTTTACACTTTTTTCGATATTTTCTGAAGATTCTTTACCAATAAATCTTGCCATTTTGAAACGACGCTTGTATTGAAAACTCGAGAATAATCTGACAGTTACAGATGTCAAAGTTCAGTCAAAGTAGTGCGTATGCTTTTGCGGCATGGTTGATTATAGTAGAATTAATTATAATGATATTTTTCTGCAACCGACACAAAAGTCGTTCATTTTGATACCGAAATTAGCTCTTAAATTGACGTTCCTATTACTGACACAAAAATAGGAATGTTGCTAGGCAACATATTTAGTTCTTAGGAGCTAAAGTTGAATTTTAGTTCCTAGGAGCTAAAGTTGAACTTTAGCTCCTAGGAACTAAAAAGGATCTACTGGACGTCATCAAGAATAAACAACATTGTGACGGTTGGTTATTTGGGTTAAGACCCATACCTGATTTGTTTCCGATTTCAGCAGATTTGGCATTTCATATCCATGCTGGAGATATAAATTCACCTTATTATAGTTTAGTATTGGAATTATAAACATCTTAGTTAAGTATTTTTGTTTTGATCAGGAAAGCCTTCAAGATTTAAATACTTGCTTGATCTGCATTTCATTCGTTATTCTCGGGATGGATAACTTGTTTTTGAATAATCACGGCAAGCATAAGTTTTTTTTGTCTCAAAAAACGATATTGTTCAGCTTCATTTGATTATCAAGTCAAACACTGTGTAGTATGGAGAGAATTAAATAATCACTAATATCATAGGTCGCGTGCACGAAGACCGACCCTGGAGGCAAAATATTGAAACACAACCTCATTCTTCTGTGAATTATTGACACACAACCTCACTTTTTTATTTGGTTACAGAGGAATCAAAAGGTTGAAATAGTTTTTCACAATATTTTGGCATCCGAATCGTATTTCTTGCGTTATTCATTAATTCAAGCATGCCTTCCCATTGTGCTGTTGTACAATGCACAAAAAATGTAGCAAGAGACTAGGGAATATGATTATTCAGGTAAATAGTAATCTCACATAGTTAGCATTATGAAATGTTGTCATTCCTTATTAAAATTCCTTCTGCCTTCTGCCACTTCTGCAATACAAGCTAATGCTGCTAATAGATTGAAAATGTCTACAACACACACGATCGTCAGCATGTCAGACCAGTCCTACCAATTGATTGCATGAATCCAATCTTCTTGCATTATTCTAGAAATTTCAGGTATATTTCTATTAGCTGATCCTATTGCAGAAGGAATTCCGGTGAGAAATCAGAGAAATAACCAAATTTCAAAAATGAAAACTATGTGAGTGACTATAGTAGGTACTTACTTTTGAATCATAATGTACCATCCGGATTTCTTCATCTTCCGCTGCAGTTTTTGTGCATTTTACAACAGCACAATGTGATGGCATTAGCGAATTGATGAATAGCGGAAAAATACGATTCATATGCAAAAATAATTGTGGAAAACTATTTGGATCACTTGTAAACAAATATGTTTTGCCTCCAGGGTCGGTCATCTGACAGTTCTTGCACGCGACCTATTGTTGATATGCTCACTAACCTAACATTTTCCACGTCTTGTTCCTATATAGCTGGCACTGGCGCGGTATTTGCCATTAGAGCACCTGGTCCATACACAAATATGTCTCTCTGTGGTTGTATTCATATTGAAACTACAATTCGAACATCCTAGAATACCTAACCTGCTGTTAATGCAGGTAGAATATTCTCACCACATGGATTATTTATCAATATTTGTTGCATTGCATACATATGGCACGGCATTGGTGGTTACTTCACATGTTTATTTGAGTTAATTGTTTCGGTTGCAGAAAAAATAGCATGTTTCATTATCTATCTACTATTTTTCATTCTGAACGAACTAACACATTTCACTTGGGCTGAACTGAATTAGTTGACATGCAATGAACGTCATTTTGAAAGAACGAATATTAAATTATTAACTGATTCAATTCAGTTCAAGTGAAATATTTCAGTTAATTCAGATTGAAAGAATATCACTTATAACAAAAGCAAAGTGCATATTTTTTTCGGTTATTGCGAAAGCAAGGTACTTTTTTATCACTACAAATGCCTGGTGTTTGGTCGGTTTTACGAAATTGAAGAAATCTTATTGGTTCTTGGAATAGGCGTGTATTAATCGGGGGTAAACACATAAAAGATAAGGTTTTCATCGATAATAGTTATTTATGTATCAAGGGCGTAAAGTAGGCGTTTATGGCCTGTGGCGTGAATAATGGCCCGATGGCGCTAGCCTAGTGACTATAGTTTTAGAAAAACTAATATTCCCCCGAATTTAAATGGTTACGTATGAATTCACTAATGAAGAGAAGCGTAATGTTCATGGACGATTTACTTATAAAAATTATCGTACAAATATTGCAATTATCGTACTAGGCATTCTAGGCAAACTCTTTGATCCCTAAAAGAGATTCATTTTTCAGAATTTTACAATATTTTACAATGGAAAAGTAATTCCATTCGTGCGTAATTGCTTTACAATACGCATTACGTACTATATTTTAAATACTGTCTGTAGGTTAATCGAGGAGGTGGTACATTCATTTTACTTGGTTCTTTGGGATTTTCTCTCCTCGTTTCTATAAAATAAAAGTATTCGTATTATTTCAATATATTTGTAGAGGGACAAATCAGATGATTTGAGGAGGAGAGAAAATCCCAGAGAACCAAGTAAAATACTATATTTTACCTACTGCCATATAGTACATAAAAAAAGTTTGGAAAAACAGTCTGAATTATAATTCTTGACAGTTCTATCATCCGCTGTTGACGGCGATTACGCGACATACCTATACTGGCGGAATAAACGAAAACTGTGCGATGTGCTTACTGTGCGTAGGTAACAATCGAGAATCAAGGTAGCGAAAAAATCGCGAAAGCTTGCTGGAGCGATTTTTTTCACCTCCCTTGATTCGAGATTTATTGCCAAATATGATGATTAAATTTGAATACAACTTGAAATGTATTTATAAAACATTTCTCGAATGTAGGTATTTCAGGGAAATTAATACACAACTACCGTATAAAGACAATTTGGTTTGAAAAAGAAAGAAAACTCGAAAATTATCTGACGATAGTGACGGTGACAGTTGTTGTCAAAGTATATGGAATAGTGTGTTGATTGAAAGCAAGGTATGCATATTTGTCGGTTATTGGAAAAGCAAGGTATAGCTTTTTATCACTACAAATGCCTAGTGATTGGTCGGTTTTAGGAAATTGAAGAAATTTCATTGGTTCTCAGAATAGGCGTGTATTAATTGCTGGAAAACTCAAGCCAAAGTTTTTTCACTGTCATAATGACAAAATCGGCTCATGTGATTTTTTATGCATGAGTTGAATTGTCACTTATAATACCACGAGAGCTTCAATGAGAATTATCAAAATATTCGTGTTCTCGAAAAAAGTTCCGGTAATAATTGGAGCTGGAGTTGTATTCGGTAGGAAAATTTCAAACCGAAATATCATTGAGAAAACTACTAAGAATCCGCTAAATAAAATACAAAATATACAGACTTTAGTTAAACAAAATGATAAGTTTATTCTACTGAAGTTGGTGGAATCATATTTGTTACAAGGAACTCGGAGCATTATGTATTCATGAACTTCACATCCATAAGTTAGTAAGTAAAACCATAGATCTTAGATCTATGGTAAAACACAATCAACTTACTTTACTGAAACACAATTATAAAAAATAAGTGGATAGTAGCTTAATTTCTCAGTTTTTCACAAATTCGTTTCACTAAACATGGTAGAAATATATTTTCTCACAAGAAACTCGGAAGAACTATTCAGTATAAATGACATACGTGCTCACGTAATATCATTCGGTTAAATAAAACAGAATTAAACTACTTTGGCCGAATGAAATAATAAAAAATAAGTTTTTTCACAAATTAATTTAGCTGAAGTTGGTAGAAATATATAGTCTTTCGCAAGGAACTTATCAACTTATAGAATGGAATTGGACATAATCTGACGTTAAATGTAAATGTCATTTCACCTATAAACGTCAAAAACTTTCCAGTGTAATTTCATGCTGCTTTCCCCAAGGAGGAAAAAATTTCCGGAAATTTGTTTAGTTGCTATGGCAACGATACAAAATATAACTTTTTGATTGGTCGAAAATGTTATGTGTGAAATTGTCACTTATAATATCACGAGAGCTTCAATTCGAGAACACGAATATTTTGAAAATTCTCCCTCGTCTTAAAATCCTGGATATTAATTGAAGCTAAATTGGTATTCGGTAAGAAAATTTACATGTTGATGGTTGTTTGTGATAGGTAGGAGGTAATAACTAACGTATAGTAACAACATATGTTTTTGTAAATTTCGAATTTGCAAGTATACCTACATAATATTATATGGTAAACTGTTGATAAATGATTTTTATTCATTGACTTAGAGAATGAACTCGAAATAATTTGAAGTTGAATGTAAGTGTAATTCATGCTCCGTCCCCCTATAGGAGGAAAAAATTTCCAAGAAATTTGTTCAGTTGCTATGGTAACGATACGACATACAGTCTATAAATTGATCGAAAATGTTTGGTGTGAAATTTTCAGTAAAACTCAAATCAAATAATAAACTCTTTTATTAAATAGTCAAATAAATAATCTTTCAGAAACTATATATACAGTAAGTACAAACATATTTGGCAGCTTTCAGAGAAAAAGTGGAATACACTGAGAAAACAGGAACGCGATTTGACCTAATGCTCAATATTCTCAGTCATTATCGTCCTTCTTTTTCCTCAACTTCCCCTCGCGTTGGATGGTCCTCGTGACCATTTCCACGCATTCCGAAGTGGAAGGCTGATCGCTGGGCTCGTCATTGACAATGGAAGACAACGTCATTATGTAAGAACAAGCTATCCTCAAAACTGACAGTTTCGACAGCTTCTGATTGTGCGAATACGAAGGAACCGATTTTCTAAGCGTATCGAAAGCAGCGCTTATCGTGTGAACTCTAGTTCTTTCTCTCGCGTTGGCCTCTATCCGCCTTTCCCTGGTCATATTTTTGTAGTTTCGCTGCTCTCGTTTCTGATTTTCGATGGCTCTCTGGCTGCCACTGGTGGAGGGAGTCTGCAGAGCTGGAAACATCTCGCTGGTTTTCAGGATCAGTCGCTCAGTCTCGACCGTAGAGAGGCTCTGGACCTGAGGGTGAGCTGGTACGCGCAAGTCTTGGCTGCTGCTATCACTTTCAGCTTTGATGCTATCGTCGACATCTCGTTTCTTCACCAGCGACACAGGTTCATTCTGTTGGTAGAACATGATAGGCGAAGGGGGCCGAAAATACGGCATGAACTGAGGTTCCGTTTTGGACTGGCAGATGCTCTGGGGCGACGGCAATGAACGGGAGTCTTCACTTTTGACTTTGATGCCATCGACAGTTCTGTCTGGCGTCGGACTCCATGGCCTGAAAGGGTGACTGTCGTTGCTTTCAGCTTTCACTTTCAAACACATTCTTTTTTTCAGTGGTCCGGTGAACTTCTCTGGAGCGTTCCGGTAGTCTAGCTTCCTTTTGTTGGCTATAGATATTGCGGATACTTTGACTTCGACGCTGTCTTCGGAGGTGTCGGTTGGAGAGTGGATTTCGTTCTCCAAGTAGTCGACACTAGAGCAAAAACCCATGTCCTCAGGTGTTGGTAGAGCCATCTTGATATCTGTAACAAAAATAACTTTGAAAAATGTGTTTCAACATACATGATCTGAAATATGTTGGAAATAATCAGTACATAGTGATGATTCGTCATTTCAAACCAGTTTGGCCAAATCATAGTCCACTGCTTTATAATTATTGTCAGGGTTGCAACGATATTTTTTTACAATCTTCACCGTGATTCAAATCAAATGATAAAGTGCTGAAAAAACAAATCGCCAAAGCAGATAACCTCGCAGATAACTCATCAGGAAATCCAAGAAAAGAAGATAGCCTATTTGAAACTAAGTGTTTACATACATTATGTAAGTGTAAAAACAACATTTGTTGTTCCCACCGGAAAGCTGCGGCACGCTGCCGAAAATATTCATTTCAACACAGGATTTTTTTGTCCCCGAGCAGATTTTCTAACTGTGAATCTTGGGGTGAATCTAGACAGCAAATCTATTCGGGGGAATAGAAAGAAATAATGGAAATGTGTGATTCTAAAATTGATTTATTTCCATATTCAAGGAAATAATCAGTATAATTCAAACGGATCAGTATAGGCAAATCAAAAAATCAGGATGTGGTAAAAAAATAAGATTTTTTTATTTAAAAAAATAGTGATTTTTGTCTTTCATTTTGATTCTGCTAACGAGTATCGAGGGAAAGATCAAGTCACTGAATTATTTTTGGATGGTTAAAGCTGATGCTCTTGACATGTTATGTTGATTTTTCTCCGAAAATTACGCGTAAATGAATTCATTTTTCGATAATAAACTAATACCTCATTTGTAAATGTAAACTTTCAATCTATAATTAGGATAGGAATTTCTAAAATGTTTGTAATGATCACACAGCTTCCTATTTTTCAATGATGAAATTGTATTAATCGAGATATTAATAGAATCCACGATACACGAGGTACTATTTATCTCGTGAACCAATAATACAGATGCGAAAAATAGATCTTATGAATGAAATTGTGGTGGGTGGAATTATCGATATAATAATATCTTAAATTTCTGCCAAAATTCATTCTTTTTATATTATATTCTTCTCGTATTTTGTAGAATTGATATAGGAATATCACTTATCAGTTTGGGTACCTCAATAATAAGGCCGAGAATGAGTCTTATTATTATAATAATTATTATGTAACTTGATTACGTCTTGCGAATTAATTCCACTTTGAAGATGATAATGTAGATCTATTGATGCAATATTTGATTTGCTAATAGTACTGAGTTGGATGTTGAATGGATATTATTACATACCACGCTTTGATGAAAAAATACAGTTTCATGAAGAGTATATATATATATATAGGACTATTCCTTAACTCTTTGATTCATGTTAAAATATTCATTCATTCTCATATCATTTTCATCATTCAGAGTTTATTCTTTTGCTCATATATTTCTTGAAGTTTCTAGATATGTACCGAATTATGTAACAAGCGCGTCCGAGTATGATTTCAATGAATTCGTCGGAATTCGTGGATTAAGTACTACTCGGCGTGAATCCTCGAGACCTGAATCCAATCTGAGTGAGAAAATTAGAACTAGAAAAAATGTTAAATAATTTAGCCTATAGTTTACTTGTCAATATTTATATTTTCACTGGACTCACTGGTCAGTGACTATGACTATAAGTAGAGTGGAAACACTGAAAACATAGTGAACACATCCCTCGACACATCATTAGTAGATTTCGTAGTGATATCCACAGAATTCTCAGGTAGTTATAGGTAGGTAAAATGAGAGGTAAAATACCTACACTGTAATACATTTCGTTATATACAGAACGCGAGACAAATTAGGGTGCTGAAACAATTTTTGGTATTGTCCAGATTGACAACTTTAATTCAATAAATTCATACTTTTAAAAATGTAGCATTTAGATCATTTTTTGCCACACAATTCACATCGCCGATTTACATATACTCACACACTCACACATAATTTATTAAAATATTTGCTACGTTCTCCAATTTGATAACGTTTCATAAGGGATCATGAGTATACCTTTATTATAATACTTAATTATATTCATTGTACAATAATGAAAATAAGTGAAAATATTTACATCCCATATTACACCACTGATAACGCGAAATGGTGAAATCCGAGGTGAAATCGTTTAAATTATAGATGTGTCATTTTCCTTTGAAGTTGTTGAGATATTTTCCTTCACTTGGCTTGGCACTTTGAAGAAATAAGAAGGACCGAGGCAGAGGTAGTCGCTGGTACTTAAGAGTGAAATAAATAATATAGTAATTAAAAAACGAAAAAAGTAGGCTTTTATTGGTATAGGTATATAGCCAAACTATAAAAAGGAGTAGAAAATGAAATGACAAGAGTGCTGATATTTCCTATGTTGTGTATTTATCAGCACCTCGATCAGAGTTTTATTATTTTAGTTAGAGTAGTTGTTTTTCTCTCGAAATCTACCATTGTTTTTCATTTTATAAATATTGTGGAAATGACTGAGTTTTTTGTATTTATTCAACATTTCATTCCACTTTGAGCATTGTGGCTATTTCGTAGTTGATTTTATTTTTTACTTCTTTTTAGTTTGGCTGTATCTATAAAAGCGCGAATTTTTAGTTTTTTTCAACTACCTACTATTGATTTTCCATTTTTCACGGGATATTTTAGTTCGGCTAATAACAAGAGCGTGCTTTTTTTAGTTTTTTTTCTTCTATTTTTTGTAACTACCTACCGCAGTGAAAGTGGGTAGGTAATTTTCGCACCCGTTGCCTTCCTTGGATGTTGTAATCGTTTATCACGGTTTATCAGGCTCCCCTTTATGAAACTTCATTTCATACGAGTACTTGATGCAAGACAGTACCGTCTCACTGGATGTAAAAATCGCTTATCCTGAAGTTCCTGATGAGGATAATGGAACAACACTATTCAATTATGCTTGATAAGTTGGCGATGTTTCAATTTAATTCGACGTTTTGGAGTGGGTCAAAATCACCAACCTCTATCGAAATAAGAAGCTTCGTGACAAGTTATTCCAAAGAATAAAAACGTACATTTGAAATTTTGGTGAAGGTACATTTGGAATTTTGGTGAAGGTACATTTGAAATTTTCGTGAGGGAACATTTGAAATTTTGGCGGCGGGAAAATGAATCACCATTTTATTCGAGAAAAAAAATTGTCATCCTGAAGATCCTGATCATCAGGATAATGGAACAAAACTATTAAATAATGCTATTTTCATCGGTCCTTGATAAGTGATTGGATTTTCAATGCAATTCGACATATTGAAGTCAAAATCACGTTAGAAGATTCCATTACATAGGTATACAAACATACAAACAATCAAACAATCAAACATACAAATACCAAGCTAATAAAAGCGTGGTAATAAAACACGTTTGTGAAACTCCGGAAAACTCACCTTTTACTTGAAAATTTTGTATAGTATGCCCATTCGTCATAATCCCATAAAATAAAAAACAATATCGAATATAATATCACAGCACTAACAGTTTAATTTAAGCATGTAGGTAGGTATGGCACAGTTCCTTTTTTCCGATAGAAAAATTCGTTACGAAACTAAACACTCCGTCAGTTCAAACTCTTGGAATTGACTAGCAAAGCAAGTAGCAACACGATAAGACAACTTCAGAGAAACAGATGATTCCCTATGTCCGCATCGTGCACCGATGACTGATCGTGACTGAACAAGTGAACACGCTGAACTGAGGACTGAAACCGAACTTGTCATGGATGTTTTGAGTTTGAGTCGCGCCGCCACGGCCCCCTGTTACGGGGGGAGAGTGCAGAGTGGGCGAAGTCTTGGCGCCAGCTGTCTGGTCGGCCTGACTTGTTAAGTGTGAGAAGTAACAGGGCAGAGGGCCCGATGCTTCGGAATGTCCAGGGCCGGAGTTGTCGAAATACATCGACACATCTCTGATATGATATTTCTGAGATTTCGCGTTTAGGTAACAGTGCGATATCACAAACGTTCCAACGCTGCGATGTACATGAGCAAACACATCTGCGACATGACATCTCTGAGATGTCGCGATGATGTAACACTGCGATATTACGAATGTACAATCGCTGCGATGTACAGAAGCAGACACATCTACGACATGACATTTCTGATATGTCGCAATGAGGCTACACTGTGATATTACGAATGTTCCATCGCTGCGATGTGCAGAAGCATAAACATCTGCGACACGACGTCTTCAAGATGTCACGATGAATAATGCGATATAACGAATGTTCCATCGCTTCGATGTGCAGAAGCAGACACATCTGCGACATGAAATCTCTGAGATGTCGCGATGAGGCAACACTGCGATATTACGAATGTTCCATCGCTGCGATGTGCAGAAGCAGGTAAATCTGCGACATGACATCTCTGAGATGTCACGATAAGGCAACATTGCGATATAACGAATGTTCCATCGCTATCATGTACAGAAGCAGGCACATTTGCGACATAACATCTCTGGTATATCGCGATGAGGCAACACCACGTTATTACGAATGTTCAGTCGTTGACACATCTGCGACATGAAATCTCTGAGATGTCGCAATGAGGCAACACGGTGATATTACGAATGTTCCATCGCTGCAATGTGCAGAAGCAGACACATCTACGACATGACATCTCTGTGATGTCGCGATGAGGCAACACTGCGACATTAAGGATGTTCCATGGCTATGATGCACAAAAGCAGACACATCTGCTATATGACATATCTGAGATGTCGCGAAAAAAAGGCAACAGTGCGATATCACGAACGTTGCATCGCTACGATGTACACATGTGGACGTATAAAATTTGTTATTCGGGTGAAAAAGAATACATGTGAATACATTTCTCAACAAAATGAAGCTACATGCGTCAACATTCGTTAGTTACATTGCTATCAAACTATTCTTGGTTTGCTTACATCTCGCCGACACAAACTACATATTTTTTTATAGAAATACAAGTAACTGATCTTATCCTGATAGAGATGTGTAGATAATAAGGATAGCGCCGCTGAAAAGGCGATTGGATGGACAGGAGACCCGAGTGACCACCAATCAGTCACAACAATGCATTATCAATATTATCAGATGTCATCAGAGGTCAGTGGTGTATTATATTATCACACCATGTTCGAGGAAACATTTCAACGAAATCTGGCATCACACCGTTTTTTCCATCATAAAAAACATGTCGCAATTACATTGCACCAAATATATCGCTGTAATATCGCAGATAACTTATCGCAGCGAAGTCGCATGGATGAAACTTGAGTGGGACAAAATAACATCCCTATGAGATCGCAGCGACGTCTATGCGACACAGAATGCTATATTGCAGGTCAGAATTGTTACATCGCTGTGATATCTCTGTGATGCAAACTGTGTTTGCTGGGTACAAGCGTCATCTATTCTAATTTGTTGTAATATAATTCCAGTGAGTTTAGGTTTCTTTCTCAAGTCTGTTTTATCCTGACAGTTCTAATAGTTGATTGAATTCGGGTGACCGATGCTCACGAAATATAATATAGGTAACTACATTAAAATATTTCAAGCACATTTGGAAGTGGATTGAGGATGATGAAAAAGCGTAGTGATCGCAGTTGAAAACAGAAGAATGGATAGTGGATAGTGCCAAAGATGCAACATTTCGGCACACGAACTGTGCGCAGATCTGAGAGCGTCATCCAATACATTTTCGATTTTTGTCGTTAGTAAACATCAGATATATTTCATAGAGGAAATATAGTAATAGTATTCGATATCAGCTGCTATAGGTATTCCATATTACCATTACCGAACCCTTTTTTCGGCTAACAGAAATGTAGTTTTCGGCCAAATAAATATTTTGGCATTGCGACCACCATTTTCAATTCATATTCCATTCGATACTTTTCGAGATAACTGAAAAAATGAAAGCGGTATTCCATGATTCCATTGGCGTCAAAAGGACATTTTCTTGTTCACGCTATTTCTTTTAAATCAAATTATTATTGCATGATATTTTGCGGAGGTTTTGTACAAATGAAAGCTGTTCAAATTACTTTTTCGTCCGTTTTTTTTTTAAATTTCAAAAAGTATTTTTTGGGGATATTTTACAATCGCTTATAAGCAAGCGTATTTCATATATATTCATATTCTTCTTCGTATCACCTTATAGGATGTCCACATAACCTCATGAATGTCCTGGAAGCTGGAAGAACAATCCATATAGTGTCCATTCCATGTTCTCGTCTCCATTATTGGATTATGTCCATACGCTATCCATATGATGTGCATTGTTGCTTTTCTGTCTCGGGTATCATTGAGATCGTTCGGATTCTTCTGTGATCGCAGAGTATTCTGTATCAGAGTGAGAGTAGTGAGCCGTCTGAGACCAAGGTCGCGCCCAAATTTTTTTGGGTGGGGGACAAACTTCCAATTCAAAAAAATTTCTAACTAAAGGGAAAACGTCGGATTTAGGCCTTGCCTAACACTGACAATTTTGTTTTCAAATCTAGCGTTTTTATGGTTTTCATACAATCCGTTCGCATTTGGTGTATTGAGTGACATATTATTTTGTTCGTGAACGTCGTGATGCCACAATTGCCACATCATTCGGAGAATAAAAGAGTCACTTCAAGTGGAGGGCCATTTCATTCCAGGGTGTATTAATGAAGATGTCGAAGGATTTCAACATTAGAACGGGTCTGAAATTGAATGCCTTGTGCAAAAGTGAACTTCAGAAATTCGTCCAGATAGAAATCAAATTGTGTCAACACTCAAATAACTGGAATGATGAAAGGAGTTTCTATTTCAACATTAATCTGATATAGAATATTAATATAACAGAAACATTAATTCTATTTATTGATCAGATCTTATTCCTATATATGAATGTAGATTTCAGATATCCTAAGTATGTATAGTGAGAATATCCTATGGATGTACGGTATGGGCATTCATTAGATGGTCGTTCAGGACTTCCTATATATGGAAGTCCAAAATGGTGGAAAATGACTGTCCCATTGGTGTTGTTGTATGAGTATAGTTTCAGTGAATAACTACTGTCATATTCCGGGTTGAGTATTTGAAATAAATTTACTTACCGTCTGGAAAGAGAATGAATTTCAATCGAAAAGAAAAAACCTCTATCGGCAATCCAAACCGGTGCAATTTTTTTTCTCCCACACTCAAGACCGAAGACAAAATAACATTCAATGGTAAGCGTGACGTCATGTCTACTGGATGGCCCATCCTGTTGAGTTGAAGAATCCCGGAGTTTAACTCACCTTGTCGGCAAAGTATCTAATATATAAAATTCCTCCTCCTCCTCCGAAACGGCTCGACCGATTCGTATGAAATTTTTTGTGCGTATTCTGTAGGTATGAGAATCGGTCTTAATCTATTTTGTAAATCGAAAATCCAAGATGACGGATCCAATATGGCGGACGAGTATTGTTATCCGATTTCATTCAAAATTGGTATTTGGGGGTGTCCGGGGTCGGAGATCATGATTCTTTCGCCAAATTTTGGAAATTCGTGATGGCGGATCCAATATGGCGGACGAGTTTTGTAATTATGGTCACATTGCATTCAATATATGTATTTGGAGGTTTTTGGGGTCGGAGATTATGATTCTTCCGTAGAAATTTGGAAATTCAAGATGGCGGATCCAATATGATGAACGAGTTTTGTAATTATGATCCGATTCTATTCAAAATTGGTATCTGGGGGTTTTCGGGGTCGGAGATTATAATTATTTCGTCGAAATTTTGAAATTCAAGATGGCGGATCTAATATGGGGTTCGAGTTTTTCAATAATGATCAGATTCTATTCAAAATTGGTATCTCGGGATTTCCAGAGTCGTAGATGATGATTCTTTCATCAAAATTTGGAAATCCAAGATGGCAGATCCAATATGGTGGACGAGTTCTGTAACTATGAACATGTATCTGGAGGATTTTGGGGTCGGAGATTATGATTCTTTCATCAAAATTAGGAAATTAAAGATGGAGGATCCAATATGGCGGACGAGTTTTGTAATTATGATCCGATTCTATTCAAAATTTGTATCTGGGGGTTTTCGGGGTCGGAGATTATGATTTTATTCTTTAGAATTAGGAAATTCAAGATGGCGGATCCAATATGGCGAAAGAGTTTTGTAATAAATAGTAGTTTGAAGAACTATAATTGATTTTATGGATAGCCAAACTCGAGGCTAAACTGAATAGAAATAGGAAATTGATAGTATAGGTTAAAAAACGAGATAGACTGTCGAACTAAAAAGTAGAAAATAAAAATGGTAGTTTGAAATACTAATGAAACACGATTTTATGGATAGTCAAACTAAGAAGAAGTAGAAAATACAATTGTAAAAGTGTGTTGATGAATACTTGACTGAAAAAATATTTTCTAGAAATGAATGTATATAGCAAAACAACGTTTGCCGGGTATCAGCTATTGCAATAAATAGTAGTTTGAAAAACTAATGAAACACATTTTTATATAAAGAATTTTATGGATAGCCAAACCAGAAAGAAGTAGAAATGAAATATTGAAAGATTATTGATTCATATTCATCTGAAACATTTTTTTCTAGAAATAATTTGTATGGCAAAACAACGGGTCAGCTAGTAGCATATGATATAAGCATATAACTATCAGAGTCCCGACCTGTGTCAGGAATTCGTGCGAGGCTGATTATATCGTGGGGCTGCGATGCAGGTGGACCGCTTTTTCATCGTCGAATAGGTGAAGTTTTCGGTGGAAGGTTA